TTTCCAAAATTTCTGAGCAGCGCTAAGAGCATAATATGCCAGTTTTACGATCACAATCGACAAAAGCCTTAATTCGTAGCCGGGTTCGTAGCGCCATGCTCGACGCCAAACTCGAAATTGTTAGTTTATTCGAAATGCGGTCTTCAATGAAAGGATAATAATTCTAAGCTGTAAAAATCAGTTATTTTCATTTAAACTCGTGTTTAAAAAGCGAAAATCAATCATTGAATCTCGAGGTGTTTTCGGTCTTACTTCGTGATATTCATTGCTGCGAAAGCTTCTGAAAAGTCACGGACTTACTTACTAACGCACCTGATGACATATTGGTGACTGGCTAAAGTCAGTAACCACAAAAATAGTAGTGAAGGGTTAGTTAAGTAGTGTTTTGTAGTGTAATGTAATGTAAAGTACATGTAATATATTGTAAATTTATTATGTAAACACGTGAAATACCAGGATTTATGATATAAACACTAGTGAAATTTTCGGAAAATGTTCAGAAACGTTTGTCTCGCCTTCGGAAAACTTTTGGAGAATCTTCGGAAATCTTCGGAAAGTGTTCGGAAATCTTCGGAAAATCGTAAAAGAAATTCGTCATTAGCATGTTTATACAATAAACGGAATATTACATGCCCGCTTGTGGATACGAATTTTATCATCTCGTGTTCAACTCGATATCTCACGAATGAGCGCAGCTCACTCGTGAGATATCAAGTTGAACACTCGAAGATAAAATTCGTATCCACAAGCGGGCATGTAATATCCTCTATTTAATAAGTTACTTTTAGTTATTCTATAAGAAAAAGGTACAAAGTTTTCGATTATATTTCAAGTAAATCAGCCATGTACAAAAACTAAAGAATACCACTGAGAAAAATCTTAGGAAAAAAAAAGAATTAATAATAACAATAATAATAATAATAATAATAATGATAATAAAAAGAATCACATTTATACAGTAGGTTTAAAATGATATTCATAATACTTCATTGCAATTGATATTGACAATATTGCTTTCATGAGGACCGTGAAACGTCGTTCACTTCTGATTTCGCTGGTTTTTAATTAAAGATGTTGCTCAAAAATTTCTTTTATCAACACAGATAAATTTTTATTGGCATCACTTCGGCATCCCTGAGTTCGAGTAAAAACGTCGCTTGAGAATCATGTTCCGTTATGATCAATACTTAGCCACAACTAAAACCACTGAGATGTGGAGAAGTACTTGATATTCTGGAATAAGCCGCGAAGCTAGTATACGTCATTCATTGAAATGCTGGTACTACATGTTAAATTGTGTTTTCTGTAGGTCTTCAAAGAGCTCAAATTTTCTAAATAAAGTCGTAACTTTGAAGGGAATTTAGACTCCTGTTTAATTTAAGCACTAATCGGGGAGAATATAATTCAAGCTCAAAGGAGGAGGTGGGGNGGGGGGGGGAACGGCGAAAAAATGTTAGGGAGAAGGGAGAGACATGAGTTAAAAGATAGGGAGATGAGACATTTTATTATCCGTAATCCTCTGCCTATTTTAAGCAGTTCCTTGCTGTCGAGTCAGGTTAGTTCAGTGACCCTCCTCCATTCATGATCATCAACTGACCTGCACCGTTTACAAGGTTCTTTGTAAATAACCAAACGAAACAAAAGATAAACAACACAAACAATTTCCCCAGCCCTAAGAACAAAAGAGGTGCAGATTAACAAGAACGAATCAAAACAGAGGTTTTAAAGTGGTGACAGATTAGTGTTGTTGTTTCAAATTCTGGGAACCTACAATGAATGCAAACGTGACGAGTGTTCCAAACAGCGACGGAGTGTGGAGGTCAGGTGACTACTCTAACATATCAACGGTGTTGTCTGAGTTTTGTCTACAGCTGCTCTATTCAAAACAGAGGTAGTTTCTACAATTGAATGGCGCTGTGTGTTTCGTAACGTAATTCGTTGGACTGTCTCAAAAAAGTGCAAGATTAGAAACCAGTTAAAATGCGAATTAAACGAGACGCTAGATGTGTAAAACACTGACCTTAAATGTTTAATATATGTGAATGGCCTCGTTTCTCGTCTCTTGAGGTAGCTTGAGGTGATCTTGATGTCGCACCATCAATGTAAGCAACCTGTAGTTAGAAGAGTAAATGGTTATGATTTCTACCAAACTTGGAAAGACTGTGCATGTTTCTTTGTTACAATTACCAAGCAGTCAGTTACAAGTTTCTTACGCACCCGGCGTTTGAACTCGCCAAGCAACACTCTGCTTCAACACCGCCTTAAGATATTTGCATGCATATATCTGATATTTGTCATATTTGATATCTGTCTTGCAAATCTTTTGCGATATCCACAGAGGCCTGTTATTTGTTCCAAGCGTCAGAAGCAAACTGACTTGTCAACTGCCAATAGTAAATGTAACTCTGGGAGCTGTCTCCAAAAGTGTTGGCAAAATTTAAAGAGTTTTGCGTAATGGATAACGCATAAATATTCAATTCTTCCAGCCCGTCATCATGTTTGAAGTCTCTCAATCTTCTCTATTTGTTGCGTGCAGCCATTTACAATTGATTTATAATCAGACGGCCCTCTGGCCTTTTTTGTTTGTTTCTTATGGTCTTGCTGGTTTGGAGACCGTATGTTGGTGCTCCTCCTCCGAGCACCAATATCTGTTACTAAGCTCCGCTATTACGACGACAAGTTATAAGGCTACAGCTCCTACAATTTGAAATACCTAATTCCTCCAGTGCAAGAACTGTTCAGTAAGAAAATTAAACTTAAAAGATAACTCATCTTTTGACCCACGCTATAGCCTTCTTGAGCGGCCATTTTAAGAGCGTGTCCATGAGAGAACCAGACAGGAGGTGATACAGCGCAAATCACCGATTTCACTCAAACTTGGCGTAAATGTTTGGTCGATTGAGTGAAGGATTTTGGCAAAAACGGGACGTCAAAGTATTTTATTTCTCCAAATTAGGGAGCCCCTTGCAAAAAATGGCTATTTGACACCGTTATTTAATTGGCTGTCTTTGGTTTAGTATTTCTCGAACAAGAAAGGCCATTTTAAAATGACATCCATTGGATCATGTTCTGCAATTATCAGACTCAAAACGCATTAATCCATTTATTAATTTTCAGTCATTTAGCCATTGATTATTTCCGTGATTCCATCCTAAGTAGGGTTCATAGTTGATGGCAAATATCTACTCTGAGCAACTTAAGCAAATATACATTATTCTAACATGGATAGTGACAGCTGTCACTAAAGTTCTCAAAATAAGCATTAAATGTTTGGGGCCTTCACTATTTTTATCTGTACTGGCGTACTGTTTACGTAGGACCTAACGATTTAGTGCCATTTCATGGACATTCACTGAAACACGAAAGCCATTTTTCTGTCTTTATCATTCTGCTAGAAAAACTGTCCCTCTTTTGAATAGTGCAGCTGCAGAAATTCTAGAAAAACTCAGTCAATAACTATGGTGACAAACTTCTGCGCCTAGAATAGTCACATGTCTCTTCCTTCTGGTCTGGAACTTGTTTCATGACACTAACCGCGCTAGCATTCATTGCAGCTTCCCGGAATTGTGGTACAAAAAGACTAAAGACTAAAGGACAAATGTGTGTGATAAGAGTTGCAGGCGGGGTACCTTAAGTTCTGATTTTGATTACGTTATTAGCCGATATGATTTTTCTTCCAATCTACCTCGAACAACACAATCTGAATTGTAGGGTCATGAACAGTCAACGGGAAAAAAATAGGAATACTTGTGAAGAATTTTCAAGTCTTTCAACCATTTAAAACTACCTGTACATAGCGGATGAACACATCAAATTAATTAACTCGCCTTGCCAATTAACTAACTTGCCTTCAAAAAGAAACCCGTTCGTTCAAAAGGCAGGAGCCTTTCGTCTTCCACGCTTAAAAATGCCAAGTCGAGAACAAACTAAATGAAAACTGTGGAAACTGGATATATTAAAAGACCTTTTAAGTTTGGGCAGTTTGTTTTCCCATATTAGAGACCACGTGATATTCTTCAGAGATTTGTTATTTTTATCGGTCTACAAATTATTTTACAAAAACTGTCTAATTTCTCGCGCGCTGATTGGCTCATTTTCTCATTAATAAGAATACAGATGGATAAAATTTTAATTTATGCAAGCTTTCAAGTTCAACTTTCAGCTGTTAAACTGTCAACTTTTTAACCAACGAGATTTTATGGACTTTTGTAGGTAGCCAATCAAAAAGCGAGAAAATCTATTAACAATGTTCGCGTCATTTTGAAAAAATTCAGTTATCTTTCTTTACGACGAGTTTACGGCGTCTTTTCCTCTCATTTATTCCCGGCATTTGACCATTTTAGGGTCTTGTTTTTGTAAAAAACAAATTGACATCAGTTTTTTACGCGTCTGACCACTTATTGATGACAAGTTGCGTCATAACATTGTCAAAGTTTACTGCGGAACCACTCGCCTGCGGCTCGTGGTTCCACAGCCACAGCCATTTTTATGAATTGTATTCATTCATATAGACGCGACTATGCGACTATTTAAGGATTTCAAAGAAACAATTCGCAAGAGAATCCTCACATGGTCTGAATTGGGGGAACAATCCACCCAAGCTAAAAAGGTCTATTTACCCTCAGGTTCTGCATG